TATGTTAATTATATTTTTCATTAATTTAAAAATAAATAAAAAAATTAATTTAATTTTTTAATTATTCAATTAAAATTTTATATATTATTAATATTAAAATAAATTTAATTTTTATATTGTAAAATAAATTAATAAAATAATATATAATTAATATATTTTTACTATATACCTTTTTAAAGATAAACAAAGCGTTATATAAAAAGCTTCACGTGTACGCGAAAATACTAAATTAGAAGTTCTCGTTTTTGACCTCCTTTATCTTAGGGGAGACGCGTGTTCTTTTAGACTAACTAAAAACAAGATTTTTGTATTTGGGAGAATAGAGCATATATTGTTAAAGAATCTATTATCTGTAGTTGGGAATCTATGCTCTCTCTAATTAAATTGGAAATCAATAAAGCAAGTGCAATAAAGAGTTTTCTGTAGTTTGCTTCCGAATGCAGTTTATTACAGTATATGCTTGTCCAAATCCATTAATTTCGATGCCCACGGTCGATCTAGTGATTGAGATTTTTGATCAAATAAAAATCATTTTTCATGAATTATATGTGTAGATCTCATAAATAATATTTTTTCCTCTCTGAATTGCTCTTGTTCCAAAAAAAAAATATATATTCCATTAATTTTATGTAAATTTATTTGATCATTTTATTTATCAAATCAATGCAAATTTTAAAAAAAATAATTTAATTTAAAATATCTAACGAGAATTATAAAAAATAATATAATATCAGTTCTAACTTTCTTAAAAAATTAATCTTTTAATTTTCAAAACACTATTATATTTATATGAATCTTATATATTAATTTTTAAATGGGTAATCACATAAGAATAACCTTTTAATATTATTTTTTTATATAATTATTACGTGTCATTAAATAAATGATTACATTTAATATTATAAATCCTTAATAAATAAAAAAATCAATTATTTAAATGACATATAAGATTATATCAAAATGTGATACAAAAAAATTATTCTTAAATCATTTTATTTTTAAATTAATTGAATATATAATTAATTTATTAATTATATAAATTTAATGTCATTAAATATATAAAAATATAAATTTTTTAATTGAGATAGATGTTAGATTAATTTAAAGTTTAACATATATTATTTATATCAATAAAATATTAAATTTAATTATTAATTTTTTAAAATATTTATTAAAACTAATATTTTTAAAGTGAAGATTTTAAATTTTTAATCGGAATATGTAATGTTTTCAAAATTATTTATAGAATAAAAAAATCAATTATCTTTTATTTATTGGTATGAAATTATTACCTAAAGTTTATGTAAAAGTGAAATTTAAGGAAAAAAAAAAAGAAACTAAATTCAACATGAAGGGCACTTGGCCTTCGCCCAGTGGCCTCAAGTTATCTGTTAAATGCATTCTTTCTTTTCCGAAACAATGATTTAAATTTAATCCTTTATAAATTTGTTAAAAAAAAAAATCAACATGAAGGAATATATTAGAAAGTTCAACATTTGGTTGCAATTAATGTCGTACTCCGACAAGAAAAATTAAATGTAGATGCAAAACTAGTGATCGCCATTCATCGTGCGTGAAATTAGGCAGACGCGTGCGTTGAAGAGTGGAAAGAAAATATGTGAAGCCAGTGAAGGACAGGAGAAACTTTACTTGGTTGAACAGTGAACACGTTCTCCTTACATTAATTATAACTTAATTATTGACATTGACACTTATCTTCGTAACTTTACCTGTTTTGGTTTTTTTACATGTGCCTTTTTTAAGAACAAATTAATGATATAATTAGTATTTTTTTATAATTAATTTTTATTAAAAATATAAATATTAATTTTAAATTAATTAATTAATAAAAATCAATTACATATTAATAGTATTAAAATAAATATTAATTTTTATTTTTTTATATAAATTAATTATAAAAATATATATATTTATTACACTTTTAATATTTTTTAAAAACACAATTCAGAGACGCTTATCTTCGGCTTTCTATCCTCTCGCATCTGCGGTCGTAGTGTCTTTTTGTTTGTAGTAAATACATTTTTAGCTTGATTCGCATTTTTAAAATATAATTTAAATATTAAAATTATTTGAATATTTTTAATAAAAATCAGAATTTTATTTATTTATCTATTATAATTTAATAATTTTCATATTTACATTACACTTTAAAAAAAAATTTAACTAAAAATCATAAAACTCATAATACATTGCCAGTCATTATTTATGGTTGGTTTGTGTTTTGTCACCCCAGAAGGAAAATTTTTAGATGAAAGGGAAGGCTCCACATTTAAAATACTCCTTACTAGATTTGCCCAAGCTGTATTTTATGTTGAAAGTATATAATAATATGTAATATTATAATTACATTACTTTTATTATATAAAAGGTAAAGTATTTATCAATTAAATTTCTAAAAAATTATGAGAAAAAATATATTAAAATTATATCGTTTCATTTAAATTTTTATTAAAAAAATAAAATAATTTTTTTAAGTAAGAATAAAATTATTTTAATATTTTCTCAAGATACAATTTAATTTAATAACATAGTTTTGTAATTTTTTTTCTTCATTTTTTAGAAATTTAATTGATAAACCCTAATTTTATTACACAAAAATATTTTTATATTATTAATAAGAAAGTTTTAAAAAGTTAATGAAACTTTTTTTTTTCTAAATTCAATAAATTTTTAACTATATGAGTAGAGATCCCATTGATGGTCAAAAAAGTAGAGATCTCATTGAAAGTATTTAATTTTTTTTTTCTTTCAGAAAAATACTAGTAATATATTTGAGTTAATTACTAATAATACAATATCTAACTTATAGTGTCTTTGCAAACTGATTTATTTTATTATAAGGCTGACTAAGTGTCCAACTGTATTAATGTGAGGCAATGAGGTGGTAATAGCCTGGCCAGGCCAACCAGCCAGCCAACCATCTTCTTATACCATATTTTATTCAAAACATGATTTTTCTTGTTTCATTTTTTATGCATCCAAGAGATTGTGTCCGAGTTGGGTCGTATTTTGATGTTGTATGTCATCTTTGTGCAGAGACATATTAATATCCTCTATATTAGAGAGATGCTTGACCGTTTCCTTCTGCTTATTGCTTGTGAATTAATCATTTTGTGTTTTGACCCATTAACCCAGCATGAGCAAACCAAATAAATAATAACGAAAATGTGGAGTGAGCAAACCAAATCTAATTTTTAATTTCACTGCAAAACATTATGCATTGCATATTTGTAGATGCCTAGGCTGTTTGGTGGAATCACGTGGGCTCATGGTTGGGCACCGTCTCTACCATGGGCCTCAAAAAATTAGGAAACAAAGAGGCCTAATCTAAGGTTTCAGAGGGAAAAAAAATGTGTTAAAAGCTCACTGTCTGTGCAGGCCTAAAAATTGCTTGGTTCTGCAACTCTATTGTAAATCACTTAAATCAATGCTGGCCTGCTGGCCCGGCCCTGATAGTGTAGGAAATATTTGGACTAAATCCATGATTGATTGCAATTCGAACGACCTTCGATATCCAAGTTTTGCTTGCAAAATGATAAATTTAAGTATAGAATTTCATCTAACGAGTGTAGTTAGAATCTCCGCTTCAAGTAAAGTAAGCGAGTTTAGATTTGTGTCGTAAATATATATGAAGGTGAAATGGATAGAAAGATGAGAGAGGATTGTCTTTTGTGTCTTATTGTGCAATTAAAAAAAAAAAAACATCTTTAACAGCTTGAAACTTACATCTACAGCTGCCTCTTCCGCGCAAGGGGGGAAGAGAAAACAACCCAAAGCATTAGTTCAGGTATAAATCTATTTGGAAGTCCATATTGATACAAAAGATGAGCTATATATATGAAAGTAATAGAAAAGAGGGATAACAACAATTAGAAACAGAACAGCTGAATTGCTGCTTATTTTAGGCCTCTTTACTTCAATACTACTGCCTCCTCATAGTCCTCTCCATTGGAAAGTTCAGTTCTTGACTCCTCCTCAGCCTTCCTTCCTGTGATCTCTTCTGGGTCCAGGAAACTCGGTTGATGGGTGGATGACAGTAGCCTGGCCCACATTCTATCAGTGATTATAACCTTGTGTTGTCTTTCAGTAATCCTCTGTACAATACCATTGAGCGATTAATCAAAGTCCGGTTCAGATAAATCATTCTTAGGCTCTCCTGTTAAACGTTTGTAAAGATCAAAAACTCACATAGAATGGTATGTATGTATGTCTCCCATTAACAAGGCCAACAGTGCAGCCTGTATACCCTGCCATCGCACCATGAATGGCACTTTGAGCGAGGAGAGTGCAGTATACGTTATCAGACGCATTGCTTGGAATAGCACGGATCATGTAAGTAGGATCTGCCATGATGCAAACAATGCTCAGTTGTTGTATACTGAGTTTGCAAGTAATGGTTAAACATGTAAGGGTGAAAAAATGAAGTGTATGAGCAAGCAAGTTTCTTTTGACTAACCTATATATTTGAGATTTATAGCCATTCTTTTACCTTTAGCAAAGTGGTCCTGCAACATTGAAGGTAAAGTGGGAAAAATAAAGTTGCAATACACCAAAAGTTAATAATGCCACGAAATGAACAATTAGAGATACATGTACCAAGGCCCTATCATTTAAGAAAGACCAAAAAATGGTGATAGTGGCTGAATGATACCAACTGCAAGGCAAGCTGTCAAATGGAAGTTCCTAACATCCTAAGGAGATGTTTGGTAAGGAAGCCCACGAGAAAAAGTTCTGCTCAAAAGCATCTTATGAAGTCAAGCTTTTATTCTTCAAAAATGAACCCTTACGTTAAATTAAGGTCTCAAGTTGAAACTTGTACACAAAGGGGAGTTCAGAGAAGCCCTCAGAAATGGCATGGAAATGAAAACAAGTTTTAATAACAACAACATGTGCTGGCATTATTACCTTTATCTTTTGTGATATCCACAAACCGACATCTTTAAGTAGCTTGTTCCCTGAAGCATCTCGCTTGTTATGGATGCTTTCAGAAAGCAGCTCTTGTCCAGCACCTTCAGCTATAACAATAACCATGTGTCCATTCTCATTTAGTCTCTTTTCTATATATTCAAAAAGTCCACCAGGTCCTTCAAGGTAAAATGGTGATTCAGGAATCAAGCAGCAGTCCACGTCTCTGCTCGCAAGAGTAGCATACATTGCTATAAATCCTGTTTTTTTAAACAAATGTCAGACTCTAAAACGAAGCTAGTTTAAGGATATAAACAAAGAAAGAATGACTACTAAGACAATCAACAGTCTTCTGATATTGTTTGAGGAATAACAGAATATGATTCCATTCCATTAAGACAAGTGATCCTTACCACTGTATCGGCCCATTAACTTGACAACACCAATACAATTCTCAAAGCTTTCTGATTCAACATGGGCTGCATTAATAGCTCGCTGAGCCTCCTCAACAGCAGTATCAAAGCCAAAGGACTTGTCTATAACCTGTTAAAGAGGATAGTGTTATGCAATTTAAGTCAGCTTTTCTGGTTTAAATCATATGTTTGCATCCAGAATGCAAAGGAAGAAGATAAGATAGAGTCAGTGAAGCCATGGAGATAAGAAATACCGGTATGTCATTGTCAATGGTCTTTGGGATGCCAGCTACCGCAACTTTGAGGCCACGCCTTCTAATCTCCTGCATATGAGGTGAATAAAATCAGCAATATCCATTCTGAAACAGAATAATGCACACAATGCAACCTATTCATCCCAAGTCTGAATCTTTTCAGAGAAACTAGTTTACCTCAAAAATCACAGCAGCCCCTCTCTGAGTTCCATCTCCTCCAATTATATATACCTGAGATACATGGATTTTCAATCTTTGAATCTATGCAGAGAATTAATTGCCAAGGCAGAGGTAAAGTTGTACATTAATCTTATCATATGAAAGTGGCAAACAATACAAACCTGATTAATTCCTCGATCTTGAATGCTGTCAACTATCTTTGAGGTATCATGGCCCCCTCGTGATGTCCCAAGGATGGTGCCACCACGTTTATGGATATCATTTACAACATTTGGCGTTAATGGAACCGTATTCCGAGCATAAAAACCTCTGTATCCTCCCTAGAGAAACAAATCAGCCTCTCCAGTTAATTGTACCAGCTACATACATAGATGTGCATTTGAAGAAGTCAGTGCCGAGCACAGAATAAAAGTGATGTTACCCATATGCTTACCTCTATCCCAATAACTTTAGTGACACCATACATGAAATATAATCCGCACACTAGTTCCCTTATCACAGTGTTTAGGCCAGGACATAGACCACCGCATGTTACAATACATGCGTGCACCTCATCTGATTCAAAGTATACCTAAAAACAAGTAACAATAAATGTCATTGTTTTCATTTGAATGGACAGGAAAACGAAATATTAGTAATAAGGAGAAGAAACTCAACCTTCTGACGGGGTCCAGCACGTCTAAAGTGAGTTCCTCTGTGACTATCTTTCTGGGCAACAATCTACACTAAATGAAATAAATCAATAGACATAAAATTGGAATGAAAACTGTAACAGTTGATAATCGAATTCAACAAACAGTTACATAAAAAAATTAGCTTCAACACAAGACTTACATTCAATCTATAACCAATTAGCAATTGGTAAAGTAATCCTCCTTATATTTAATCTAATGCTTCTTTGTTATATACTTGATAAATATACTTGATGTAATATTTTTCTACTCAATACTGGTATCATTAAAATGAAAATTAAGAACGAAAATGATTTTACCTTTTGAACGACTGTGTCATCATCATTGACAAAATACTGCCTGGCGAAACATAACATCAATTCCAGGAATCGTTAATTTCGTACTAATCGTTTGAAACTAAATGAATTAGTAATCAAACAATACCATAAAAAAATTTTCAGACTAGACAGGATGAACGTACTTAACAACTGAATAGGACGGGTTGTCTTGTAATGGATTGGGATATGTCTGCAGTAAATCAAAAAGGAAAAAAAAAAAACAAAAACTAATGAGAACTAAGCAGAAGGGCCTTCCATGATATAAAGTGCAACCAAGCACAACTTAATATAATACAAGTCAAATTTTTATTGGCAAAAAAAAGTCAAATTTTAAGATGTTTATATCACGAATGAGTAGTTAAAAACTCGAGTCTTTATATTTAAAATACAAAATTCAAATCTCGAAATAGATGAAAAACGGTTCAAGAAGGAGGGATGTCGCTGTATAGCATCCGAAGTGAAAAATAAAAATGTCAAAATTTTGAAGCTGAGACTATCGATTAACGAAAGCTATTTGTTATTGCCCCAATTCAACAATTTATAAATAATAACTATGTTTGGTTACCGAGAAAATGCATGAAAAGAAGGAAAAAGCAAGAAATTAAAGTAATCACTTTGTGAAATTGAATTCTGTCTGTTTTCCTTTCAATCTCTTAATTAATAGTTCATTTGCTTAAGTTTGCAAAGCAACCAAACACTGCCTGCTCATCAGAGAAAGAGAAGAATTTTACAGGGAGTTGAGGAATGTAGTCAGTCAAGTGAGGGACATCTTCAAGCTCAAAACCAGCTTCCCCGGTGACAATTTTTGGCTCGGAGTTGGTCGAGATCCCCGTGCCGCCGTTACCGTTAATTGTAGGAGAGGTGGAGTTCAACCTAGGGGAAGAAGAGCTCCTTAAGAATCTAGGGTTAGTGGTGGGGGGATGAAAATTCGCAGGATCAAAGCATCGGAATCGGGGAATGGAGAGTGAAGCAGAGCTGGAAATGCTGGTTGGAGAATTGGAAATGGAGGAGTCCATGTAAACACTATGGAAAGCCGTTGATTGGAAAAAAGAGTTGTTGGATGTAGTATTTGTAGGAGTAAGTTTATAGCCAATTGGCAGGCCCACGCAAACATTTATTTATTTATTTATTTATTTATTTATTTTGTCTAAAGAGTTAAGTATGGTATTTGAAAGGCCGTTGATTGGAAAAAAGAGTTGTTGGAGGGAGAAGCATTTGTAGGGGTAAGTTTATAGCCAATTGGTTGGCCCACGCAAAAAATTGATTTTTTTTTTATCTAAATAGTTAAGTATGGTATTTGAAAGCACTTGGGCCTAGAGGCTCACTGGCATTAACTAGCTTGCTAGGTGCATTCCCCCCTCTTCTAGACGGGTTTCAAAACCCGTCCCGTGTCAAAATGTTCAAAAAAAAAAGTATGATATTTGAAAGACTAATGATAATAGATAATTTTTTCTATAATTTTTATTTATTAATGAATAAATGGATATATAATATTATAATATTAATGAAATAAAAAAATTAATTATTAAATAATATGTAAGATTATATAAAAAAATTATTTTAATTATTTTTTATTTAAAAATATTTATATATAAATTTATTTTAATTTATTTAATAATAAATATTAATTATATTATATTTTATTAATTAATCATTATAATTAATAATTATTTTTAATAACTAAATTTAATAAAAATATATATTACATTTTACAAGACAATATTTAACTGTTTGCGCGGGTCTCACAAACTTTGTTGCTTTAAGTTTTTAACCGCAGCCTATTTGTAGCCGTTGCATATCAAAAAGGGGAAAAAATGAGTTCAAAAATTTTAATAATTTTTTCAACAAGGATGCATGTTTTGTACACATAAGGGAAAGAAAAGACGTATTTTATTGTAGGCACTGAAATCTTTACGCCAGCTGGCGACCGTTGGATATTTTGCTCTGATTTTTATATTTCAGTCTTAAAATTTTTAAAAGTTTGACAGTTTAGTAAAAATAGGCACATAAACAAAAAAAAATTTTTATTTTTATTTTATGACACATAATAAAATATAATACTTTCTTATCTCTTTATTAATCTACTTGCATATCATACAATATGAACATAAGTTCTCTTAATTAAAAAAAAAATTATAACTAAATAGTTTAAATTGTTGACAAACAAAGTCTTATTAACAACCAATTTGAGAGAGAGAGAGAGAGTTTGAGGTTCTATAATTTGGACTGCATCAGATGAGGGAATGTCCTCACATTCAAGGCATGTTTGGCTAAATGCCAACTTCACAAGAAAAGTAATTGGATAAGTACTGTATTGAAAGTCGAAAAAGTATTATGTAAAAGTTAACAAGTTTTGTAATGAGTTTTGTTAGAATTTTATTTGATGGATAGATTTTTTTGTAATTGGTAAGAAATTGACATAAAAAAAGTTGGTAAAGAAGTTATTAGGTCTCACATAAGGAAAGTAAGGAAAAAAGTTTTTCCTTCTAAATGAGTAGAAAAAATATTATTAATTGGGAATTGTGTAAAAAAATAAAAATTAAAAATATCACTTTTACCTATCTTTTATTATAATATTAATATGTAAAAAAATATAAATAATCATATAAGGGTTGGGGGAAAACTTCCCCTCAGGTCTCCTTGGTTAAAAACCTAACTTTATTAGAAACTTTTTTATTAGGAAAGTGAATAGGAAAGTATTATATGAAAAATTGATAAATTTTGTAGTAAATTTTGTTAGAATTTTATTAAGTTGTTAATTTTTCTGTGTTTAGTAAGAAATTAATATTAAAAAAATAGCTTGGAAAGTTGTAAGTAAGTACTACATAAGAAAAGTTAGAGAAAAACTTTTTCCTTTTAAAAAATATGAAAAGAAAAATTTAAAAATTGAGAATTGTATCAGGAAAAATAAATACTAAACATGTCACTTTTACTTTCCTTTTGGTGTGGTTTTAATATATGAAAATACGTAAATAACCTTGTAAGAATGTTAGGAGGAAAGTGACTTGGCAACCAAACACCCCTTAAAATTTTCTAACTTTCTCCTTTATAATGTTATTTATGTATTTTTCCACATTAATACGACAACAAAAGAGAGTGAAAATGGCATGTTTGACATTTATTTTTTCTAACATAATTTTCAATACATAAACTTTTCTTACTATACTTTTTGAAAGGAAAAAGTTTTCCTCACTTTTTCAATGTATGATCTACATGATTTACTTAACAACTTTTTTATTAACTTTTTCTATATCAATTTTTTTACTAAATACAAAAAAGTTAACAACATAATACAATTCTAACAAAACTTTATTATAGTACTTATCAACTTTTTGTATAATGTTTTGCTAGCCACTTTCTCAATAAAAAATTTTATTATAAATTTGGCCTTCTAACCACACAAATCCTAAGAAAAAAGTTTGAGAGGAGAGTTCCCTCAACCAAATGACAACGAACCCTCAATGGTCCATCCTCATGCACTAATTTAAAATAAAGTCTCTTGCTTTGTTGTGTAGATTACATTGAATATTGAAATAAGGACTATTAGATTAGGATGACCTCCAATATCATTTTACCTACCATTCAATGGTGAATGTTATATATTCCAATATAGTTTAGACTACATAATACTTCTTCCTTTAAAATATTTAAGACTAAATTGCTAGACACTTAAAATTTTAAAACAAAACAATCAAGAAATAAAAATGAAATATAAAACAAAGTTAGCTTCTACATACATTGAGTAGTTGTGTTGTAACTAAATTATTTTTGTTTTATTATAAAAACATGTTTTAAAGTTAAAAGGTGTAGTATAATTTATAAATTTATTAAAATACTCTTAATAAATTTTTTATGTTATCTTTAATGAAAATTTTATCCATGTTATTCTATTAATAACATTTTAATAATTTTAGTATCTAAATTATACTTTTATTATATATTTTTACTTGAAAATATTGGTATCAAAGCCTCAAGTCAAAGTTTTGATTTTAAAATCTTAAATCATTTTATTGAGTTTCAATTATGGCAACTTAAATCTTCTTGTTCTTTGAAGGACAATCAACCACTCATCCTCCTTTCTTTAATGGAATAAACTATGCCTATTAGAAGAATAGGATGAGGGTCTATATGTAAAGATTGGATTACCTAATGTGGGAGGTAGTTGGAGATGGTCCCTTTATTCGAATGAAGAGAAAGAGTGAAGAGTCAAAGGAATTGGTTCCAAAGAAACTTGGAGAATTTGACACAAATGATAAAGAAAGAATCCAGCTAAATGCAAGAGCCATAATTGCTTTATATTATGCTTTAGACCCTTTTAAATTTGATTGCATTAGTGCATGTGTGAGTGCCAAGCAAATTTGGGACAAGTTGGAAGTATCTCATGAAGGCACTAATGAAGTGACGAAGAGCAAAATGAATAGACTTGTCCAAAAATATAAATTGTTTAAAATGAACTCTGATGAAGATATTAAATCCCTGTTTACTTGTTTCACAAAAATCACTAATGAGCTTGTCTATTTCAATAAGGTATACTCAGAGGAAGAGAAAGTGAGAAAGATCTTGAGATCACTCCCAAAGGCTTGGAGCAACATTTGCACTACCATTGAAGAAGTTCACAATCTACGTCAAATGACAACCAAGATTCTCCAAGGGAAACTTCTCACTCATGAGATGGCTATAAAGGATTATGATAGTGAGGAGGAGAATAAAAATGAAAAAAAAAAAAAATTGCACTTAAAGTAACTCAAAATAGTGAGACTGAAGAGGAAGATGACTCGGATGTAGATATGGAAAGGCTCACAAGAAAACTTAAAAGGTTCTTGAAGAGAGAAAACTACAAGAGGCAAGGAGGCTTAAAAAGGAATAGTAAGAGTGGAAAATACAAAGGTGACTCAAGCAAGAAGGATGAAATCATATGTTATTGTTGTAAAAAGCTAAGACATATTAAGTTCAATTGCCCTTTGGGCAATGAGAAGAGCTTAAAGGCAAAAGAGAAGAAAAGTAAGAAAGCCTTGATGATTATTTGGAGTGATGACAACTCGAATGAGGAAACAAGGGACTCCGATGTGGCAAACCATGTTTCATGGCTAAGGAAAATGACACTCAAGAGGTAAGCTCTCAAACTATACTTAATGATAAGTTCAATTCCTTAGAAGATTTACAAGATGCATTCGATGAACTTTATAAGGAACTTAGAAAAATGAGTGAAAAAAAATGCCAATTTCAAAAAGACCATTACCTCTCTTTTAGATGAAAAAGATAATATACAAAAAGCTCTCAATGATGCTACCATCAACAAGGAAAAGCTACAAAAATCTTTTGATGACTTATTTCTTGAAAATACTTTTCTTAAGAAAATTGATTTGCATAAGATTATTGATTCTTTGAGAAACGACAATACAATTTTAAAAAGGGATTTGGATACTTAACATGAGTCTTTTGAAAAGGAAAGTAGTACTTTGATTTCTAAAAGCAATGAGCTTGAAAAGAAAAATAACAATTTCAATAACAGGATTTCAAAACTTGTTGAGGGAAGTGGTAAACTTCAAACTATTTTAGATGCCCAAAAAAATACAAGTATTAAAACTAGTCTTGGGTATGAGGAATCTAGTGAATCTAAGACCAAATTTGTGAAGGCTAGTTGTTATCCATCCACTAGCTTTCAAAATCAAGGTGGAAGATCAAAAACTCAAAGGAGATCTACCATAACATGCCACTATTGTTATAGGAAAGGTCATTATGTTTCTAGATGCTTTATAAAAAGAGGTGCATCAAATGGATTTAGGTGGATATTGGTTCCAAAAGAACTAATAGCACACATACTAACACTCAAGGACCCAAGCAACATTGGGTAACAAAAATGCAAACTTGAATTGTTTTGTAAGAATGGTT